GGGTACTTATCCGCCATGGTGATGTTGGTACCGGTCTCGTCACGACCAGTCTTGCTCGACAGCTCGGCCGTCACGGTCTCTGCGCTCTGTGACGTCGCGTAAGAGCCCAGGATGCGTACGAACGCACAGATCTCGCTGAGTCTACGCATGGCCGCCGCCAGGTTAGCGTCAGTGAGATGGCCCTGCACGTCAACGTAGAAGAGGTACTTGTATCTGCGAGTGTCCACAAACTCCTCACCGTTCTGCTGTGGTGCCTCGCCGTCCCATGGACGACTCTCGATCTTGGTGAGGTCGAGGTCACGCTGCGAGAAGACCGTGAGTGCGCGGGTAAGCATACCCTTGGCCGTGCTGTCCTTGAAGCCGAACACGAGCGAAGTCTTAAATTCTACTCCGGTGGTCATATCGTCCAGTGCCAAGTCCTCCTTCTTGGACAGCAGCAGGAACCGCGTGTAAGAAGTAGAATCCGCCTCTTGCTCCGGTGTGGAAGACTCTTGCTGGTCATACTCGCCCACGACGTGCAGACCGTACTTGAGCAGCAGGTCGTAGTTGGCGTGGATGCTACCGAGTGTGGAAGACTCGATGGGCAGAACGGCGAAATCTACCTCCTCATTCTTGACTGCAGCGCAGGCATTCTCGACGCGCTTATAAGCGACAGCGGAGGCCGAGTTGTCGACGAAGTGGCGCGCGGCCCGCTCAGCTTCGCCGCCCTCATATGCAATCTTGAGTTCTGCTCCCATGGCTTCGAGTTGAAGTGGGTAATATTAAGGATGTTGAAGTGGAAGCTTGTTGCAAACGCAGCCAAATCGGAAGTGAGCATGCTCTCCAGGCTACAACCCAAGCGGCCGACCGGAAGATCCCTGCATTTCTAGAGCAAGTTGTACTGCGCTTGCATTGCACGAAGCGTGACAGTAGCTGCGTCGCCAGTCAGTGGAGCTTGGAGATCCCCACAGGGATGGTGCTGCTGATGCCTTGCTTCAGTTTCGGTCGCGACCAAGCGCAATGTTTGGTCGAAGTTGATAGGAACGTCCCGTCTATAGCGACCAATCAATTTGATTGGTCGCAGGGGGACTCTTTTATGTGGACATCCACTAGCAGAAAAACCCAAATGGGTCTTTTCCAAAGCCATGTCTTTGGTAATCGAACGAGTGGGAGTTGACATGCTCTGGTGGAGACCTATTGTACAATAACCTCCAAACTACAACTGACAGAAAGTAGCAGTTGTACATTGATCATGTCCTCTGAGCTTGTCGCTTTCCACTTCGTAGTGAATATGTTCGTTCGGTGGTTCGATGGCAGAAAGTCGTGGGAAGAACAGGTGTTCTGGATTGTTAGACCGTTGAGATTGCATTTTGCTCAGAAGTTGATGCCTAACTTGCTATACGGATGCGGCGCTGTCAGAGGCGTTGCAGCAAGCGAGTTGAATGGCACGTAGCCAAAGCTTATCGGAAACAAAAGAAAATGAAGTGTATTCCATGGGGCACTATAGCTTTCTAAAAGCAAACGGATTAATTGGAAAGTGAACGCCTTGGACAGGTTACTGAAATGTTCATGCCGTGTAATGCATTCTTTGGACAGGCGACTAAGACACGGAGCGTGGTGCAACAGTACCAACTCTCATCTTTGTTGCAAAAAAGGAAAATATTCGCACCCTACGCTGATATTGACAGCTCCTAACGCACCCTTAAGTTCTGTTATGCTGAGAGCATGCCCCAGAAGCCATGGTATGGCCTTTTTAGTGTGAGCGGTTTGCGCTTCGACCTGATGTACTTAAGGCGTAGAATGATATTCATAGTGATTCATTCTATGACTTTGTGAAGATGTCGGTTAACCGATCAGTACTTCCGAGCCATCAACATATTGATGCACCTAATCTGGACTTCCGAAGTGCGAACTCGATGCGCTAAAGTCCACCAGAGCATGTTCTTCACATCAAACATGGCTTTGGAAAAGACCCATTAGGGTTATTCTGCTAGTGGATGCCCACATAAAAGAGTCCCC